GGGACAGTTTCAAACAGTTGCGGCTCGTGACCAAAATATTGGTAGTCTACAATGACATAATATAGATATCAGTACAGATGTAGGTAAAAATATTTCAGTTTTTTAGAAAGGTATAGGTATAGAAAGGTATATAATACCGAAGACTGAAATTTTTTTACCTACATCTATAATCAAAGACATTACAACTAAGAGACCAAATTGTTTACATTTTTATGTGGCAAATCATTATTCCCACCAGATTCTCGTTTATTGCGTCTTTGCCGGTTTTATCAGTCTGTAAAAATTATGTGGAGAAATTACTTTCGAAAAATAAAATTTGATGTATCCTATAACTATAATTTTATATAATATAAATAAAAATATATTTTTAATCAAATTATTCTTTAAAGTTTTAATATAAGCTAAATTTTTTATTAATCAATATTAATCTAAACAAAATATTAGGGTTGCAAAGAACTCCGTAAATACGACAACGCTGAATATCTTATTTTACGAATTTACAACTTTTATGAATAAAATGTAGTTACTGTAACCAGCCGCTACGTTGCCAATCGGGTCTAACAGCTATTTTGTGTTTCTGACAGTTTCTGTATGGCTTATTGATTTATTCATTTATAAAATACTATTTTTGTGAACTTTTGTGAGAAATATAAAGAATTATGGTACATGCATGTGTAGTGTCTAATAAGGTAGATCATTTAAATCGAAATCTATCCTTTCATCGGTAAGTATTTTTAGGTTAAGATATGTTGTTTTCATATGAACCAGTGGAGTAGGGCACCCGTCTTAAGACTGTTTTGACTATACAATTTCTTGTACAAGATTTGATACAATTTCTTATAGAATATAAATTGTATAGGATCACATAGTAAATTGTTTGAAAAATAATTATCCAATCTAATTTTTCAGACAATTTACTGCAGGTTTATACAATTTAAATTGTACAAGACTTGTGTAATCTAAATTAGTCTTAAAACAGTTTCCAAAGTGATATTCCTTTTATAAATTAGTACATTATTCTTATACCAATAAATAATTATTGAATAGTGGCAAAGAAAATTTAACGTAAAATGTAGAATACCTTAAAAATGATTTACCTATTAGGCACCTATACATATTTTATAATATTCTATTTAGGTTTTCACAAGATCCTAAGAAAAAAAACTTTGGTTTTCTCTAGTAGGGATCCTTGAAAATCAGCCCCTTCGTAAAAACCCAAAGTTGCGTTCAGAACACTTTTTTCCTGAAGATGTTTTGGTACGTGCAAATGGTGCTAAATATATCAGAAAAGATGCAAACCCCAGACGGTGTGAGGGCTTTCTATTTTTGGATGACATATCCAACAGGTAAAAATTCAAAAAAAATTAATTTTTTGTTTACCTCTAAACATTATTTATTACCTATATGTATGTATACCTAATGTATGGGTTTTTAGTTCTGATTCAACTGTTTTTGGAACACCACCTGCTGCAAAAAAACATTGCAGTAAGTAATAACACTAATAACTAAGCATAAAAAATTAAATGAAATTTTAGTTAATAAAATTAAGGTATTTAATATATTTAAAAAGTTATTTTAAAAATTTTATAGTTTTTTTATGATATTTTTTGCCATACCATGTTTTTTTGTAATTATTAATTAAAAAATTATATATTTTTAGGACAGTGTTTTATTTAGATACCCCTACCTACTTAATGTTAATTTAAAATTTTAAATAATTTTGGTTAACATCAAGCCAGGCAAATATATAGTACATGCCAATAATAATCGAAAGGTAACTTGAATCCTCTTGTATCTGAATTTACTTGTACTTGAATTCACCTACATTAGAAAATCATCATAATTATATGACTAAAAAAATATACCTACTTATTTACGTATTTTTTTAACATACTACTCTGACAATACTGGTAAGTTTAAAACTCTACGCCACTGGCAAGCATATTATGGACACTGTTTACAACGTTGCCAGCCGGTCCTAAGAGATCTGTCTTTCTCTCTTCCACTCACTAACAATTTTAAAACAATAATAGTCCGCAATTGTATGGGATTTATGAATGAAACATTTTGTCTCTATTTTGTAACGTCTTTGGGACATATCTATATTCTATCATTGTGAACTCAAAATATTTTGGACACAAGCCGCTAATGGTTTAAAATAATTGTTACGGGGTGCCTCACGAATAAATCACAATAATAATATATTTTTACAAACACTGAATAACTAAAGTTGCGCCACAGATAAATTATTTCATTAATTTCTTTTTATACAGGATGAGCCAACTAGCCAACCACCAAAAAATAATTATGTCTTAAAATTATTAAAAAGACGACCTTGCATTTCTTTAGTGACTTGAGTAAGTTTATATTACATTACATTAGGAAGGTATGTGACCATAAGATTTTAAAACATACAAAGTAATCTTACTATTTCTATTAGAACACCCTGTAGAGGAAATGTATTGTATAATATTTTGTTGCCAAAATAACATATTGTGTAGTATTTTTTAAAAATATGTTTCCCTGACGTCACAGTAAAATTTAATGAGATTTTGGAAAACTACCATCATACATTTGTGAGTCACCCTGTAACTAAAAACATTTTTAATTATACGTATGTACTAATGTATTACTAAAACATGTAGTAATGTGTGTGTATTCAATAGAAATTCAATCTAGCTCTTAAGTTTGAAAGCAAAAATTTCGAAAAACTAGGCAATTTTCAACTTTAACACTGTATATCGAAAACTAGTCATAGGATTAAGTTGAGCCTATTTACACTTTTGGTTACTAGGTTGAATCCAGTAACATACCAAAGTTTCAGAAAATTTGACCGGTCCTCCATTTTACATAAGAAAATACATGCGAGGTTCTTTGAATAATGAAAGCACAAACACGAACACGTTGTATTCCAATATTTTCCAAATCAAATGTAACTATTTTCTTACTATATGATATTTTTAACACTGTTCTAAGATATATGAATTTTGAATCCGATAATACGGCCAGTTTTCGAGATATAGTGCCTTAAATTGAAGAATTGTTGATTTTAGTTATTTTTTCATCCAACTGAAAAGCTATATTGTTTTTATGTAGAATATATAAGTTTATTATAAGTTTTGGTTTAAAATATTTATTACAGGGTGATTCACGAATAAATAACAATATAATTTTGCAAACACTCAAAAGATTTATGAATGTGTACTTTTTATATAGGGCGAGCCATCCAGCCAAACCATAAAAAATAATTATGTTTTGAAATTATTAAAACGAGACTTTACATTTCTTTATTAACTTTTGAGTAAGTTAATAACATTACATTAGATTTTAAAATATACAGGGTAATCTACATCTACATGAATCAAATTTTCCTTACAAAAAAACGTGACGGAAACAATTTTTTAACAAAGAAAGACGAAATCATTACGTGGAGACATGATTATTTATAGAAAATATCGAACTCAGGAAATCATCATAAACGGGTATTTTATTTAAATAAAACATGGGTTAATGCTGGATATACAGTAACAAAAATTTGGCAAGATACCTCTATCAAAACTAAAAGACAAGCTTTTATGAAAGGGATCTCTTGTGTATTAAAAATTCCAACAGGAAAAGGAAATCGTTTAATAATAACCCACATTGAAAGCACCGATGGATTTTTGCCAGATGGTTTATTAATGTTCGAGTATAAGAAAACAAAAGACTACCATGAAGAAATGGATGGCCCTGTTTGAAAATTGGTTTCAGAACATTCCAGCTAACTTCGTTATTGTTTTGGATAATGCATCCTATCACAGTCTATTAAAGGAGTCACTACCTACAACAAGATGAAAAACAGAAGATATTTTAAAATGGCTTCATTTAAAAATATTATCAGTCCTCCTAAATCCTTGAAGGCAGAGTTACTCGTAATAGCAAGGCAACATAAAAACAAATTCAAAAAATATATTATACACGAGATGGCCCAAGAAAAAGAATTGAAATTCTCAAATTGCCTCCTTACCACGCAGAGTTAAATCCCATTGAACTGATCTGGTTACAACTAAAATTTATGTTTCTCGAAACAATACAACATTTAAATTACCTGATGTGCGAAATTTGTTTTTGAAGGCAGTTTCAGATGTAAATGGAGAACATTGGAGAAAAAGCATTGATCATGTTAAAAAGGTGGAAAATTCATTTTGAAAAGTGGATACAGCAATGGAAAACTTAATATACCCTATAATAATAAACCTCAGAAAAGACAATGATACCGGTAGGTATAGTGAAGACCGTGACTTTTAAAGATAGGTCTTGAACTTTTTTTCTTTAATCTTTGATTGTAGGTACTGAAGTGTTACTTTTAATGCCAAGAGTTTAAAAAAAGTTTAATCCAATTAACAACATATAATCTTCCTTATTATTTATTTGTTAAATTTAATTCGTTTAATGTTAAAGTGCAACAATTTTGTCAGAAAATTTATTTTTATTTTTTGTAAATAATATAACTTTTCTCAATCAAAATGTAATTACGAAGGGCGTATATACCATTTTGTATACCAGATTTATATTACATAAACTTATTTTGTAAAGTACGCCTATGAATAGTGACGTTATATCCCCACTTTTACTGCATTCCTCTTTTATTCAGACTATAGACACAAGAATAAATAATTATTTATTCTTGTGCTATAGGTCAAACAAAAATTGCTGACTTGATATGTTACCCTTGATAATATATTCTTTAAAAATCGAATTCAAAACGTCTCTCCCTTTTTAGCATATTTTTTTAATAAAGGCTCATGAATTGTAAGAATTTTGACCACATGGCCCCATCGCTGGAGTCGCCCTTGTTTAGTTGCCTACTAACCATCACAAATGCTGGAATAATCTATTTTGTGGCATAAAAATACGTCTTGAAAAAAATTATGAAATCAAACAATTTTGGTGTGAGCAATACCGATTACATGAAGATTTGTAATGAAATAATTTAGAATATTAAAAAGAGATAAACTTACTATTAAAGAAATTTGCAGCAAATACATCACAAGTCTTCCAATTAGCGAAACTTTAAACTACTAGAGAATTCTTGCAAAGTGAGTGTAAAAATTCACGAATCAGGTCAATAACAACATTTAAACTTGAATGAAACAATTTTTAACAATCAACTAACATTTAACGACATCATATGACGCGAATGTTGAATTATTCTACAAATCACCAAGTGGAACAATTCAAAATAACAGGTAAAATATAACACGATTCATTATTAGCAAAACATTGTTGAAACAAATTTGACGTTATTAGCGATATAAAAATTCTTTACAAAAATTAATAGCCTAGCTTGTAGTTGTAATAAAGATAAGAATATATTAAGATAATATTGTTGTGTTGTGTTTGACAATAGCTACGTAACAAGTTTGGAAAGTAGTACTTTACAGGACGAAGCAGAAGCAGGAGCGCGATTTTTGGAATCTTTCGCAATATTACGAATTCTTAATACTACGAGTTATCGCTTACAAGTGGTCAGTGGTCAGTTCTACTCATATTTTTAAAATCCTTCATAATGAAAATTGCTAGTGCTCTAAATTTTGCGAATGTACAGCACCTCCGAGCAAATTAGACATGGTAACGCAGCGTTGCCTTGCGTTATTGAATTAATGCAGAGTTATATTTTCGTTTATTTTTAAATTTTAAATTTTCTAATTTATTGGCTGTTGTTTTAGATTGAATATTTCAGTTTCCAAATAAAATAAAAAATAAATCATCGTTAAAGGAGTAGATACAATTAAATGACTTCCTATATTTTACACGATAATAGGGATCTTATAGATGTCTCAATACTATAGAAGTAACGATATTAAACAATGAAAGTATCGATATTTAGGCATTGATACTGAATTACCAATACTATCGCCATATGGATACTTAGAAGCAAGTATCGTATCGCTATATGTGTGTGGTCAGGGATAATAAGGTTTGTTCAAATATTTGTACCGAAATATTTTAGTTTTCGCATGTGGTGATACTTGGTAACACGGCATAAGAAACAATCGGCAGGCTCACTTGCCGCTGATCGCATACAAATATTATACTAAGAAAATTTGACCTTGGCGACGCCATTTGGGGGTTTTAGTCAGGGTCAGATTAAAGCGTATTTAAAGATTTTGTAATAAAATAAAGTATTGATAGACAGGATCGTATTAAAACAAAAAAGTAAAAATTTACATAAAATATATTTTATTTTAACTTATAAAAACAGCATTAAGAAAGACAATATGCTCTACAGATTGCGCAAAATAATTAGCTTGTTTTTATTGATGGTCTTAAAATTTATATTAATATTTTTAAAGTGTAATATATGAGTAGCCTTAAATATAACTTAATAACATATATTTCTGGAAATCGGGGACAAGGAGCGTCAAATGTTATCTCGGAATTAATTAAATTTAAAAAAAAATTTACAAACGCCGGATTTAGTGATAAATAATTCAAAATTTTGTTGAAAAATTATTTCAATTTTTGTTATTAAACATACAAAACTATTAGTTGACATTTTTAAATTGCCAAAAATATCTTCATTTGCTTTTTTGTATGGTTTATAATAACAATACATGAAGCTTGTATCCAAGTCTTCGTGTGGTAATGCATATTGTGTACATACGTCGCAACTGTAAATTTTAAGACATTTTTTTATTAAAAATCCGCATATATAATAAAATTTTCTTAAAAAATATTAATATTTTGTGCATGCAATTCATTAATATGCTTGTTTATATTTACATTTTCGACAACATTGCTACCATTACACGCGATTTTGGAAAATGGCTCATCCTTACTAGTCCTACGAATTTCATGCAGCTTTACAAGTAAAGCATCTCCACCTATTCCGCAGTTTTCAGTTCCAGAATGTAATAAATTTAAACATTGCAATTTTTTGAACGTCCTTTGAAATTGGACCAATGTAGGGTTTACACAGTTACCATCATGGAGGAAGGATAATTAAGAATTGCAAATTCCTTACAGAAATTTGGCAGCATGTTTACCTTCAGCGACATATGGAATAGTTTTGTGAAATTAATACTCAGTCGGTAATATAGAAAGATATAATGCTATTTTAGTTTGAAAATTGGCGGGCTTCTGAATTACTTCGACATAATATAAGAATTTTACATTTTTAATAGCATTTTTTTAATACGTATCTCAGGCGTATTACAAAATGCAAATAAAAATGTAAAATTTTATGTTAAATAATTTTAGAAGTGCAAAATAAATAATACAAAATTGTAACAACTAAATATCATTTGTAGAATCTTTATTGGTTACAACAATAAACATAATATACATTTTCTGAATAAACAACTATATTAAATAACATAAAACAAACAAAATTTTTCTATAATCGTGCGAAATAAAATAAGAGTTCCAGCCATAAATCCTGAAATGAAAAACAAAAAAAAACAATCGTTGAAAGCGAAAAACTGCTTAAGGCACATGATTTTGATTGTATGTGATTCATTACTAATTTTTACTTTACTACTTTTAATTTCTTTAATGTCTAATTAAGATTTTCTTGCTTTTTGTAATGAGAATACTTTAGATTTATCAATATTATAAAGCTTTGTTATTCGCATATCTAGAATAATTATTATCAAAATGAATATCAGAATTAAATTTTTGTTAAGCATTTCAATATTTGGGAATAATACAATTACGATTAATATTCATTTTTTTCAGGAAAAAAAGTAATTCCTTACAAAAATTCTGCTTGTTGAAAAAATTACAAGAAAAAGTTTCCTCTTAAAGGTATGAAGGAAAACCGACAGGAAAACTGTGACTTTTCTTCGTAAAATCAATAGGTAATACAGATTTTTGTCAATTTCAAGTTTCTTCATTTATTAAGACCCTGTACACCTGACCTAACATATTAATATAGTAAACCTATTTTTTCGTCAAACAGATTTTTTTTATAATGACTTTTTCCTTAAAATAAAAATAAAGATTTTTCCATTTTGTCAACTCCATACAGGAGATGTTTAAAATATAACATTTTACTTTGAATCTTAATAATATATCTACATAAGTAAATATAAATTGACGCTAAACTTTACGTGACGTTAACTAGGCACCTACCTACATATTACTAATAGGTTTATAACTGACAAACTTACCCATAACTTAGGATTTTTTTTAAGTATACCATACATACCTACCTAATAGGATCTTTAAGAAACCGAAAAAATCTTTTAATACAGTTTATTGATATAGTTTTTTTGCTGCACAACTTTGCCCAGACATAGTAAAACACGTAAAAGTTAACAAATTAACACTGGAAAACAACTACTATATAAAAAGGTTAAAAAAATATCTATAATTCTTAAAAAATAACAATAACTACATAATACACACATCACAAACAAAATAAATTTAAGACCCACGCTACTGATTCCGAGCTGCTGCAACTTGTTTGTTTTTGTCGAGATAAACGACGATAGTGACGCCACTGGCTTGATTGAGAGGTTGGACCCCAAAATGGCGGTGTGCGCGTAGATGTGCGCGTAGCGTTGCCGCCAAGACAAGTTAGCCTGCCGATTGTTTATTATGCCGTGCTTGGTAATATGATTAAGCGTTACCACTGTTTTTTGTTATTTAATTATAAAGTAAATTGCCAGTTATTGACACTATAACTTGTACCAGATAGAGTACCAGTAGAGAAAGAAAAGGTGTCAACTACAGAATATACTTTACTGATTCACTCTTGTTTTTAGTTAAGTTCCTCACTCCTTCCTGTTGAATGGGGGTTGTCAGCCGTTTAAAAAAAATCTTTTACTTGGTCGATACTTTGTTACTCATAATATCGAACAGTATCGATGACTCTACCACAAAGTATCTCACATGATACCAGTATCGATACCTTTGACCGATACTCATAACCCTACTCCCAACTATAAAAATACAAAAACAGAGAAGTCATATACTGCCATCCTAGCAAGAGAAGTCCTATGTGAAAATATGTTGTTTTAAAATAATCGAGTTTTTAACTATTTTTAACCGACTTCAAAAAAGGAGGAGGTCATCAATTCGTCGCGATATTTTTTTTTATGTATGTTCAGCGATAATTCTTCAGCACGGTGTCCGATTTCAATAATTTTGTTTTTGATAGAAAGAGAGTACTTCAGGGGTGGTCCCATATAAATTTGGTCAAAATATAATAATTGGGTCTGTGAGAAAATCCTCAAACTCTTTATTTTTTATGTATGTTTAGCGATAATGCTTTACCACCTTGTCCGATTTATATGATTCTTTTTTTGTTAGTAAGGGGATACCACAGGGGTGGTTCCATATAAATTTGGTTAAGATATGGTGACGGCATCTGTACGTTTTTGAAGTCGGTTTTTTTAAATTTTTAATTTCTAATACTTGTTAACAGATATATTTATTATCTTTTAAACCTTTTTTGTGTAACTTTTTAACATTTTAGTACCTTTGATGCAAATAAGACATTCTGTTTCAGTATCAAGAAAGATAAAATGTAGACAAATGCACATAAATAAAAAAACTACTAATTTTGCAGATAAAACCTTTCTTGCTAGGACAGCAGTATAGAAGTGCTCATGTAGTTCACTAAAGATAAATAACATTTAAATTTGTTACGTTTCAGTAAATTAAGTATTACCATTGCTGGACAGTAGTGACGTTTTGGTGGATAAATACAGCATTTCACTGGACATATACCTATGCCGTTTTGCTGTACGTTTGCTGCACAATACCAGTTGCTGGACAAACTTTAAAAATGCTTTACAATACAGCAAAATTGCTGTAAGTATGGTCACCCTAGTGTAATATTTTAATCACTACAAATACATTTTAAAAATATTGTGTTGTAGGTTTCCCTTGTGCTGGATTATAATTCAAGTAAAAAATCTCAGGAATTTTAGAAGCTAAAGTTAATAATACAGAATTGGTTGAAGAAGGTTATATAGCATCTGAAATTATTTCTTTTTCTTTCATAGCCGAATATCATGCTAAAAACATTGTTCTGTATAAGTTGAACATCCATTATTAAGTATCAAATTTGTAAAAATCAAAATAAAGGTTATTATTTATTTAGGAAAACAAAGTAAGTAAAAATCAACTAAAAATAGGTGCAACGATTTAAAGGAGCATATTTTTCATTTTCTTTATACATATTATTTTCTTTAATAATAAACAAGTAAATTTATTATCTACAAAGTTATTTTTACAGAAGAAACTATATAATTAAGTTCACATATTTATTTATTTGTTTATTTATTTATTT